CCCTGAAAGGGAACCACTATTTCCTTGGCGCCCGAAGACCATCCGGTTCCTCAACTTTTTAGCCTTTTGGTGTTTAGTGGTAGTTTCCATTTAACCCACTCGGGGATCTGAGGGTCCAGTTTCCAGGCATGTTTTTGTCAAGAAAGCCAGCAAACACCAAGGGGAAACTGCTGGTTGTTCTGCTAGAACGGTGGTTGAACAATGGAGTCGAGCCCTAGCCACATTGCCCCCACTGCTCAGGAGACCATCCTTAGGCGCTACTTGCTGCTGAAAGGCTCTGCGTGCACCCTGGCATGCAAGGCACATCCTGAGCGGAATCCTTATGCTAGCAAGTCCATTCTTGAGAGCTCCTACTCAAACCCTGAAGCTGTTGATGTCCCGACGTTGTTTTTTGTTTTCCCCCCCAGTGGACCAGCAGGATGAGGTGCAAGAGCTGGGCGCGTTCGAAGGATCCACTAAGCGAGACCCGCAGAGGTAGCACATGCGAGTTTTGAGTGGACCCTAGGCGGCCTTTCACGGATTTACCAAGCCATTGCCCACGCGTCATTTGGACAGGGTGTTTTTTTCATCATAGGATCATAGGGTCACCAACCGTCCATCCAATTGACATACACCCCACGGGACCCTGACTGGGGTCCATGGAAGAAACAGAGAGGGTACTTAAATCTGGCAATGGGAAAGAGCGAGCAAAAAACAGACACAACATCAAACACCACTGCGCAGCTAAGTAATACAGTGAGACAGATGCAATGTTTAATGGCGTCCCGTAGCGCCGAAGCACCCGGAAGGGGACACACGGATGTTTGGAATGTGAGGAGCGGTGGTTTCAGAATGACATGTGAGGGATGAGGATTTGTAGTGGACCTTGCCTTGGAGAAATATCTTGGCCAAATACGAAGAAGGCTGGATGTGAGGTTTCATCAAAGTTTAGTCGCGAGCTATCGCCAATGGCATCCAATGATTGCTTTTAGATAAAGCCCTGACACAACGGCTTCCGAGGTCTGGGCTATGGGGAGCCCTGGCTGCATATCAGGCGTTTGCAGTTCGCCGAAATAATAGAAGGGACTTTAGGGACATGTGTTCGTTTGATACTTGCAGGGGAACCGCTTGAAACCACACATTTGGAGGGGATTTGGTTAAGGCACCTAGTGTGTTCATGCTTGTTTCAGGGTAAGAAGGCGCCCAGAAGCCGGCTTGCCCAAGCTTCGTCTAGGATGCTTGGGCAGCGAGCCTTTTACCAGAACTGTTGCTTCCGGATCCGTAAGGCAAAGGGATTGATCGGCGCTGGTGCTAGCAGCGCCGTAGTTTACTAAAACTTGATGGCATATTAGGAGGTCTCTCTTTTCATGGCACCCCGCTGGGGATTGTTTACTGGACTCTACCCGTTTGCATCTCCAAAAGTACTACAGCCTCATGAATTACTTCCCTGAAGAACATCCAGAGAGTCCTGCACAAGTTGGTAGGTTCATCCCATTCATAGGGGCTTATCCATTTCCAGCTAGAGCGGGATTCCATCCACAGTAGTCTTGACCCCGGATTCACAAACCCCAGTTTATTTTCTATGGGGTGTTCCCCTCCAACAGTGATAAATTCCCACTAAAACCAGGGAAAGCACCCCCATGGAAAATAAGCAGGGGTACACCCCCAAGTTAATAAACAGGGGTTTATTAATCCGGGGTCAACATTACACGGAAAAGGAAAAAAACAACACTTGTTTCGGTCGCGTCCGTAAACGAAGGCGCGCGCCAAAAAGTCCCTGAGGTCTGTGTGGGCGTTCTGCTCCACCTGCTGCGAGTGCAGCTCCCCATCGTCTATGGCGGATGCCTCGGTGACTCCAGACGCGAAGGGCTCGAAGCGTTGACACACAAAAACGCCCCTCCCGTGGAAGCTTCCCCCCCCACCCCCCCACCCCACAAAAGGGTGGTGTGGTACATAGGTGTGGCTCAAAAATGGGGTCCTAAAAGGAACCCTGGCAAATGGAAAAGTAGACTACAACCTGCGTAACCCCGCTGTTTAAATTTGAGCCACACCCATCCCGGTATATTAATGTGGCCTGCATTTGTAACACGGGCCGCTTCCAAGACCAACTCTCTCCCACTATGTGTTTCCCTTTCGTGGCCTGGCTTGTGTGGTGAGCACTTGTATCGAAGAACGTCTAAGTGTGACATAGAATGTAGCTGTTGGTCTGATCGCCGAATCGCTAAGGCTTGACCTCCTTTGTATTGAGCTTCATCCCGGAGGTGGGCTTCGGCGTTTGCAGTTCGGATGGGGGCCGGAGCCCCCATCCTCGCCCCAAATGGTGGTTTATGTTGGGAATAGCCCCCAACCACCTTATTTCAGGTTGGTGAAATGTTATAATTCACTCAGCCCATTTGACAGTTCATGTGATGCGTGACGAGGGAGCTCCCCGGAGCATGCGTTCTTAGGGAACCCTTCTTTTGTTTGGTGTTGAATCAGTTGAAATCACCATGGTGTCAGTTTGCAAGGGCCAGGTTGGGTACTTGTGAGCACGAATGCCAAGCCCGCCCTTAGTTTGATGGCTTCCTATTAACTGCGCGCGTCATAATGCATGACCGAAAAGACTAAATTGCCAGAACTTCCATTGATGCAGCGTCAGGTGCTAAGCACCACTTTTTACTCTTCGAAGCATGGTTGCTTCGATAGTTTGTTTAAAGATCAGCAGATGCGCACAACACAGCAGGCCCAAAAGAAACAACGAGACTCGAAGAATTCACGGTGCCTGATGGGACAATGAATTCACTTGGAATGCAGCAATCAGCCCTTTTTACAAGCTTGTCCTGCTACTACTGCCACTGCTGCTACCACGGTGATGGTGCTGCTGCTGAGGCAGGTGCTGTTGCTGAAGCAATGGCCAGTGCTCGTGTCGTTGTTGTCGCCAGCGGCTTTTCCCACATCCTTTTCGGTTTTTGTTGCCGTCAATAGGTTACAGTTGTGATGTTGTTATGTGGCAAAAGGTGTTGGATGATGTTTGCTTCGTGTGCTCGGATTGCTGCTCGCGTTTGGCTTGGTTTGTGCTTGCGCCACTTGTGCATTGTTTGTTGTGGCGCAGCTCCCCCATTGGAACACAAATGTAGACACTATTACAGTGAAGAAAGCGCGCGATTACAAACAAGAATTACCAAGCCGGACGACGGCCCTCTCAAGAAGCCAGGGGAGGGCTTCGCCCCCCAACCCCCCAAAATTAAAACAATTACGTAAGCCACGAATGCAGAAAGTGCGCGACTACAAACAAGGATCACAAAGCCGAACCACAGCGGCCCTATAAGAAGGGGGAGTTGGTGGGTTGCAACCGATTGGGGCACAACTAAAGACACTTTGGAGAAAGTGCGCGATACCAAACAAGGATCACAAAGCCAAACAAAGCGGGGAGTTGGGGGGAAGCAGCCCCCTTCCATCAGAAAACAATTAAGGACACCAACGAAGAAAGTGCACGATGACCAACAAGGTGCTCTGAGAAGCTGAGAAAAGCCAAGGAGCCAAAACGACAGGAACCTGGGAGTCAAGAAGCCAAGAGGGTGTCACTGGTGATGGTCAGGATGCGGAAAGCAAAGCCACCAAAAGTCACGAGAACTCGCAAAAAGCCACAAAAGCAAGAAAGCCTGCCCAAAAAATATCCCGTACAAACAAAACAGGCCCATCTCTGCATTTCAGAAAGCTCGGGTTTCCTTGAAGGGTTGCAACTCCTTGCCTTTGAAACATGCAAAGGCACTCCCAGGCTCCTTGTTTGCGCCGAGCTTCCGGCATTCAGCAGCTGATCTGTTGTTGACTGTTCGGCCAGGAAGCCGAGTGCTAAGTAGCCCATCTGTGGAATTTCCAGAGAGGGAGCCAACATGAGGATCGTTTCGGCGCTGCATCCACACCCCCAAGGAAGTTAAGCATCTGCTGGGAGATACCAAGTTGCACAACGGCACCTATTCAATTCCACCAGTCTTGTTTAAGAATATGTGTTATTTTCCCTTGTTGGTTTTAAAGGGAATCTATCACTACTGGACGGATTTTTCCCAGGTGACTTAAGCAAATGGAGGTCTTCGTGTGGCAGGTCGGTGCTTTTCTGGCGATGCTGCTGTCCTTGCCTGTGATTCTGCCGGAAGCTCAGGGGTGTGCATGGACAAAATACACGCCAGGCACCCGCTGGTAAGTTTACCCCAGTTGCCCAGTGGCACCTGTTTTTCCTTTTTTTGGTGGGAAGGGCTCCCCTGCAAAGTCAAATAACTGAAAAGCATGCCTTTTTTTCCCCATGGCCACTGGGCATCTTAGTTACCCAGTATTCACAGGTCTTTTATTTCAACATTTGCCCATCGACTGGATCATATTCACAGGTTTTCTTCTAGGTCCCCCAGTAGTGCGCTTTTACTCTCTCTTTTTTTGGAGGATTCCCCTACTAAAATTGACTACAGTAAAGTTGGTACCCTTATTCTAACCTCTCTATTGGAGGACCTAGTCTTCCATTTGCCACAGGGTCAACCAAATCGAGGATCCGCCATTGGCCACGGTACCCCGGGCCTCTTGGGGGCTGCTTGCTGGTTTTGATTTTGAAGGGGAAGCGACTGGTGGGTTTTGGGATGGTTGTGGGAGGTCAGGGTTACTGCCCCTACAAAGAAATCATTGCAACCCAAGAAAGGGAGTCCCCCAAAAATGAAGTTTCCTTCGGGTATTTCGAGGGGAACGTGGCCCTTGGCAATGGGCCCTTCACCTCTGTTTGTGCGCTGGCTCAAGTGGTCGTCCAGGGGAGGGCTTGGCGGAACGGCTGCCCAGCATGTATTATGAAGCAAAGAAACCGGTTTGGGTGTCATCAACGATCCGCGACTTAACTATTGAAATTTGCCACATGTGAACAACATTTAACGTCGTTCTTGGTCTAGGACAGGACTTTGGGTAGCCTGTGCGCGATCGCATTGATATGTTCACTCCCTCTCAGTCAACAGGCGGCGTGCCTTCATTGAATTCATGAAATACCTCCGCTGCGAACATGAGTTCGCGACTGACGTGTGCCAGTCCAAGCTTGGGGAGCTTAGATCGAAGCAAGGAGAGTGCACTAGGTGTTGACCTGTTTATGACATAGCACCCGTACAAGGAGAATGGCTTGGAAGATCAAGTTCCTTGGTCAAACAGCCCCGTGTCAGACAAAGATCATTACTTGGAAGATCAATTTCCTTTTTAAGGAGCCCCGCTTCAGAATACCAGTGGGAGGGAGGATAACTCTCATTGCCCGAATTCCGAGGTTCGATAGCCGCCTGGAGGCCCCTGCAGTGACGCCACTGGGCAACACGCGGGTCAGTAGAGGTGGCGCACGTTTCGTGCGGGAAGCCGAACGGGGCTGTGCTAGATTGCACTGCGCTTGCCGCGCCAAGCTGGCCTGCTCAGAAGTGTGGAATACAGGATATCAGGGCAACTTCCTGCGATACCAACGGACCCCCTCTCAAATGACAAAGTAGTAGTCATAGGGATGGCCCAGTTTCCACAACCATGGGCCTGTTTAGTGCGAAGCATGGGAGACCGTATACGTGTATCAGGAGAGGACATGCGCGAAGGTTTCGCGACTTTGTGAGGAGACCCGAGAACTCCCCCCTGTTTGGAACGCAGCTTTCGCTATTTGTGCTTGCTTAAGCTTTGGGCTGTCCAACTTTGACCATTTGTTGCGGTTGCGGGTGAGTTGAGCAACAGGACCTGGCCAGCTTGGTGCACAATCAGTTGCCACATGTTCCCATGAATATGCAGACTCCCTTCAGCTTGGTTTACCTTTCCTTTGAAACGCTGCATGTTTTTCACATACGGAACAGAAGGGACATATTCGCGTGCCGCTTCCTGTTGTCATATATGTCCATGTATTCTGTGTAAATCACCGCGACTTCTCAACGGGGTGTTGCGACCACCCATTATGAAGATGCTTGTTTTGCGAGCCCTTACTTCAGGTTGGCGACGGTATTTTTTGCGATTCGCCCATTCAATGAATCCCAGCTCCCACTACGTCAGGGAACCGCCATTTTCTGTTCGCGTTTAAAGGGTTTAACCCTAATTGGCTACATACTGCATAGAGAAATGGAATGACTGGGAGATGCACACGTCTTGGCTAATTTTAACGCGTTCACCTGGGTAAGAGCGAGACCCATGATGAAGGTGTCTTACCTGAAGATCCCTTATTTCCATCTTGGGAGTTACAGTAATTTGCCCAGACAAGCAGGGCTCCTTAAAATTACATGTTGCCCATTGCAAACATGGCTTTTTTCCGCCAAAATAAAGGGAAACCACCATTTACAAGGCAATGCTCAGGTGTATAATCTAAGATCCCTAAGGCGCGTTCACCCCCGCCAATTGGGTTGCTTTTAGCTCAAGGCTCCTGACGGCTCTGGCAGCACAGCTGGGCCTAAAGTTCTTCTTCGCCAACATTGTGGAAGTGAAGCCGCCCGGCTTCACAACTCCTCGTATTTCTTCCCCAGAAGTAGTTCTCTGTTTTTGTTGGCTTTTTTTGGGTCCCTTTGTTTCCACTAACCAGGCAAATTTACTTTTTTTGCTGGGGTCCTAATTCCAGCCTAGATATTTGGGGTCTCCTAAGGCGGCTAAGGGTTGCTAGTTCGCGTGGCAGTGTTATCTAAATATGAAGCGGAATCAGAACATAGTCTTTTATGTATGTGGTGCATTCCAGATTTTCATGCATGCTTCTTTTGGGCTCGTTGTGTCCCCCCCTCCCCCCTGTTCGAACAAAACAGACTTCAGTGCGGCGGGATGCCAGCGGCCGTATAAAAGAGAGACCCCGACGAAAGATGTGTTTGAAAGAAGGCGATCACCAAGTTGAGTCTCACCGGTGATATTTATTTGGTATCGTCGATTTGGTGATGCAAGTAGACCGTATATGGCTCACATGGAGGCTTTTGGGCCTATTATTGCCGGACTTCACCAGACTTCAATGAATTTTAGATCCGGAAAGCGACATGCACCATGCGTCACCTATGCCATGCGGCGCTGAGTCCGTTCAGACTCTGCGCACGTCTCGTTGCCAGCTTTCTTGGCCTTTTGCCTTGTTCAGGTCTCCAGACTTCCTTAGGAAAGTAAGACATGCTGGCACGCAAATCATATTCTTATGGGGACTGGTGGGCTTAGCCTGGAGCTGCAATTGCCCATGTTGGTCCTTGCCAAAGCATCCTTTCAGTAACGATTGGCCATGGATTCATGCCATGACTGCACAAATCATCCTCTCGCCTAGATTTGGATCCTTTACCAGGGCGTCTCTTGTTTCCAGCTTGGGAGTTTAGCTTGGGCAGATCATGTCCAGATGTTTTTTGCTCGGATAGTTTCCTGCGCATCACTTGTTCGGCGCGGCAACTTGCCTTCCAGAGGCCCAGAGCGAAGGGGCCTGCGATATGCTCGCACGAGCAGAAGATGAGTACTGTGGCTCATGATTGCGTTAAAGTACGATATGCGACTGCCACATGTCGGCCGAAGAATCTCTATCATGTTGCCATTGCTCCTAAGAACATGATCTGATTTCCAAGTTCCCCACAAGCCTATTCGATCTATGTTTGCCCAAAAGTATTGTAGTGGCTAATTATTTAGTATGCGTCTACACCCATGCGCACTCTCCAACGTTTCTGTGAAACCAAGACATCTTATCGTTCTCCAGGCTGGTGGAGAACGACTCCACCATGAAGATGCATCCGGTGGTCACTCTCATCGCTCCTTAACCGAGCATGTGTGTTTGTGAGCGTCGGTTTCTGTCTGTGTGTTTGCTCTTGAGAACACGCTTTCAGGTTGGTCTCGAGGGAAACAAAAAGGAAAATCACATGTTTTGAGCTTTGCCGATTTGTGCTCAGTCGCAAATAGGCAGAGGTAATCATGACCACCCTTGGAAGGTCTATTTTGGAGGTGGGCGTGTTGTTTTCATACTGGGGTTCTGGTGGGAAGACATGGCAAGATTTACCAGGAGTGGAGCCTGCATCTTAACTTGACTCAAGGGAAACTTACCAGGTCCGAACATAGTAGTAAAGATCCATAGATTGATAGCTCTTTCTTGATTCTGTGGGCGGTGGGGCGTGGCCGTTCTTAGTTGGTGGAGTGATTTGTTTGGTTAATTCCTTTGACAAACGAGATCTTAACCTGCACAAACCTTATCACCTAGAGGAAGAAGAAGTCGTAACGAGGTATCCGTAGGTGAACCTGCGGAAGGATCATTCGCACTGATAAACCAATGCCACGTGAATAATCAATTGTGATTCGCATGTGGGCTCGCTCCACTATTGGGGCCTGCTTCAGGCGCAGCGTTGGAGATCCCGAGTGGAACCGCAGTCCGGTTGTTGCCCAGTTTCTTGGGTCCTCCATGCGTCTTAGTTTCCAGCAGCGATGCGCTTGTTTTTGTCATACATTGTCCGAGGCCAAGCTTTGTGTAGGTGTACTTGGGCATCCTGAAGAGGGACGATTGCATAAACCCCTCGTGCCCTCATGAAGGTTTATGTGCATATGTGTATGTGTATGTATATATATATATATTTATATTTATATATATATATATATGTACACGCACCTTTTGTATATGGACATGGCATACACACCTATGCAATCATTTTAGTAAATGACAAACATCTACGCATATTACATACATACCTGTGCAGTCTTTTGTAAGTGCCAGAAAATTTATGCGCGGATTGGTCCGCGAGCTGAGGCTGTGACCTTCTTTGGCCTCATTTGGGGCCCTACTGGCATGCTGCTCTCGGTGCCCATGATGACGTGCCTTGGGCCGGGCGAGGGCGTTGGCGTGGATTCGGCGCAGGCATGTTGGGCGGTGGCGCTCGTTGAAACCCTAAGGGGACCGGTTTTCCGTACCAGAGCCCCATGTTCTGTTGTTTCTTTTATTTGGTTGCCGGAACTCTAAAAGGAGGTAGTTGCAAAATAGACTTAGATAGACCCCGCGTAAGTGTGAAGCATACTGGCTGGGCGGGGATTTGGCCAAGTGGTCCGAAAGGGCCGGGGATGGGGGTAGAGTCAAGGTACAAACACATGTAAGGAAGAATCAGCAAAGCATGTCTTTAGCTGGAGATCCCCTGGGCGCCACTTGAAGATTGTTATGTCTAGGGTTTCTTCACTGCGGCCGGGGGGCGACAAGAAAGCGATCGGGGCTGAGGTACCTGAAGGCAGTGCTGCTGGTGGAGCATGTGCCGCCGGGCTACCGAGATCCGCTGCTGATTCTGCTGGAAGGGGACCGCATGGCGCCAAAGAGGCGGGGCTGATGCACTCTTTTAAGGACTCGACATGGCTCGACCATCACGTGCAGTGGCCATGGCAATCGTTTTTTTTGGCGCTTGTGATTGGTGGGTAATAAACGCAAGCGGCAAAAGGAATATCCCAAACTGATTTTAGGCAGTTGAGTCGACTGATGGGTAGTCTATGTGCAGCCAACTTGGATTATGGCTAATCTGAATGAAGACCTTCTGCAGCCCTTTGCATGTAAGGCTGCCAGTGCTGTCCTGTACCCCTACATGTGTACCCTTCAAGCCTTTTGCCCTTTCAAAGACCATATGTACACATATGACAAACTGCGCGTGGCACCTGGGCTTCCCGGAAGCACTAGGCAGTTTTTCCTGGCTCCTTGTTTGATTGTTGTTTGTTTAAGAGATCAGCGACAGCCAGCAAGTCCTTGTTGCTTTTGTTTCAACAAGCCATGAAGCCACCCTGCGGGCCTCTTGCGTTGGGAAGCGACCAAGTTGACCAGTCCTCAAAGGCTCACAGCTTGGCCAGGCTAGCGCGCGCGGACCAGAAGGAGAGAGGGGATCCACTATCGGAGTCAGAGGGCGACCGTTGCGCACATGTCCCATCGCCAGATTAGGTTCAGTGCTGTTTACTTGGCTGTCCAAGGCAGATGTCAAAAAGGCTTATACCTGAAGGCCTTGTAGATGTAATCTTTAGAATCGCGCTTACAACTTTAGTTCGGATGGGTCGGCATGCTGCATGAGGGATACTTTTCCAGCTGTTGCGCCTATGAGCAGCAGTAGGCATGCTATGCAGCAATAGGGGACATATTGACTCCGTGGGGTGTGTCGTTTGTTCAGGGTCTCTTGTTACTTTTCCGTGTTGTTTTAGCGGAAAGCCGGAACGAGATCATCTTTGTTGTTTAATGGGAAGCCCTATTAGACACAATGATGCTTATGGTTGCAGATTTAAGACTTGAGGGGATGATCCCCTTCAGGGTCCCTTGAAGAATATTGGCCTTGACAATCACAATCAGCTGATTTGGAGTATCCCCTTTTAAAGCATCTAGTGTCGACGTATCCTCTAAGGATCCCCATGCAAGCAACTTGGAACGGACCCCGCTCGCAATTTAGGAATCAAACGAGCTCTCCTATCATGAGGATCCCTTGCTCGAAGATTCCTTATTTCCGGTTTCTGAATAGAAATTGGCCCAAGGACAGCCGATGGCGCAAGCAAACCTCAGAATGACCCGAAAAAAGCGGCGGCAGATGGGGCGGGGGAGCGGTGGCAACGCAGATGTGGCGGGGAAGGGTGACCCTAGACAAGTATGTCTAGCCGGGCCAGAAACTAACCTTTCAACTTTTGGCAAAGAACTTCTACGTTCTATGGTGTTTGCTAATTAAGTCATATGTTACTTTCCTGATGGGTGGCTTGGTTGTCAGAAGCGAACATTAGATGCTAGTTGCGCCCTACTTAGATGTTGCTTCTCAGTGGCACTGCGGACATTCAGGCGGTCGTCATGCAGTTCAATTCTGGTGATGGCAGATGTCCGTGCTAGATCGAAGCATCAAATCTGACATGGGCAATTTTCCAAGGGGCCTCTTGCGGCCTTTTCAGGGTTGTGTGTATTTTGAGGGTGGGTCCCGCAGAGGACTGCAAGCCGCATAGGGAGGACCCCATCAAAGTCTGCCTACGGCCAGAACATGTGGGGATGTTTGACTCGCCTGTGGAACCCGCTGAACAACAGCATGCTTGGGCGTCGGACGTGGGAGTTGCACCAACCTCAAAGCGGGAGGGCGCCCTTTTCTACCAGGCTCACTGGTCAACTGGCTGGGTCCAAGCAGCGGGCAGTATTGCCTGTATGCAACCAAAGCCACGTCGCCCCCCTTGCGCACTCCGCGTCGCGTGCATAAACATATTTATTCACACCCGCATTTTGTTTGATGAGGATCGTGGACAAATATGGGGGTGCGTTTCCCTTGGTTTTAGTGAGGATCTATCACTTTTGGATGGGGAACACCCGCATATTAATAAATCGTGGTTTATGAATCCGGAGTCAACATCAATGTGGCCAAGGCGTGTCCTGCGCTCAGGTCTTGAGCATGGAATCTGTCAACCTCAAACACGAGGCACGGGCTTTGAGCGTTGCCGGTCTAGGCAAGCCATTGAGCCATAATCACAACCCGGTATCAAAATGGTCTACCCAGAACCATGTAAGAAATTCAGAAGGCGGATATCCGCGGCTATTTCTGGTTGGGAGTACCCCTTACTAACGTTCATCTACCCGAATCGGTTTTGAGCTAGTGGCTCAATGGACTCCTGGGCTCTGGGATGGGCGATGGGCCCACACACATTGCGGCTGACAGAGGGTCCTGTTGATGTGGGCAAAATCTTCTAGGTCATTTCCTTCTCTCCAATTCCCTGTTGGTGGGGGATTTGCTGCTTTGGCTTGATCCGGGAGTTAACTTGAAAGTCCTGGGATCAAGCTTGCCTTGCCACAAGCAGGTCACCCCTGGAGACCCAGGAGGATAGAGTATTGATGAGTAGGGTGCTTCACTTTAGTTTGGCGATTTTCCCTCGAGAAATCTGCCAGGTCAGATGTTGAGTGGCTCCGACTCCGGGCTGGGGGATGGGTTATTTGCCACGGGTATTTTCCCCGACTCGAGCTGCAAATGGCAAGTCAACATGGCACAAACAATTCTAGGTGTTTCCCTTGAAAACAATGCCCGAAAAGACTCCCTCAAGAATGGGACACAGCATTATCTTAGCTGGGCTGTGTTTGTTTGGACCAAACTGATCGGCAACCCAAGTTGGGATTCGCCCCTTTAGTTGCCGGGTTAATCCTACCAATGCCACTTACCGCATGGGGCATAGAATGATATCTGACCAGCTCAGCTGGGGGAGGGGTGAAACGACCCATGATGGTTCCGTACCGGTTATTGACCACCCACTCCTTGGTCATCCAGGCATGCATGCTTCTCGACCATCTTGTGCATCTTGGGCGGGTTTCTGCTCGAGGGCTGCTGGTGATAGCCCTGGAACTGGAGGACCGCGGACCCCCATGGGGGCTCAACAAAACACCGGGTCTCACGGATTAGCAGGGATGGAGCAGCTCATTCTTGGCTCTGATTGGGTGAGAGAATTCACCCCCCAACCTGCCAACACATGGTTTCATGGTTGTTGTTGGGCAACACTCTACATTTTCGCTTCTTGTGGTTTAGTGGTTGAAATCCAAATCCACTTAGCTGCTCAAATTCATTTTTTTGCACCCCAAACCCAACGTCAACCAGGGTTTCCTGCACAGGGTTGGTTCCACTTTTCGAGTACCCCAAGGTAGACTTAAACCCAGGAAATTGTCCCTTTGGTTGAAATCAACCACCCCTGGGTTTAAGTCCACTTAGACCCAAAAGTGGACCCCGGTTGCCAGGTGTCGGGTTCACTCCCTGAGCCCTGGAGCCCTCAGGTGGTGGCCAGCCGCCTGGTGCAGCACATGTCCGCCTTCCGGGAGGCCTCCTTTGCGCCTCGGAGAGGCGCAGATTCGCCGTGGGTTGGCGGTGGTTAGAAGCCGAACACCGGCTGGTTTTGGGCCCGTTTTGTTTTTTTTTGGTCAGACAACCAAATGTTTGTTTTTTTTTTGTTAGACAATTTGTTAGACAACCAAAGGAAACCTTGCAAAAGGGGGGCAGATTGGAGACCAAGCCAGGATTTTTTGGGGCCAGTTTTTTTTCTTCAAAATGTAGCGCTGCATGCGATGAGCCACTCGCCATGCGTTTTGCTCTCCACGATCTGGCCCAAAAGTCGGCCTGCAGGACATGTAAGCCGAGAGCGTCTTCTTGATTTCCTTGGCGACATGGGTGTGGGTCAACATTGAACCAGGGGAGCCCAGGCTTTAGTCCTGGGATCCATCTTGGGTACCCACTTTGGGGTACCTATTTTTGACCCACAGCCATATCGGGGAGGGTGAGAGTCATTGCCAGCCGTCAGAGTCCAGGATCATCCTTTCTATTCATGTACCGTTTCACAGCGATGGTTTCGCTGAACAGATCAACTTACAACTGTGTTTTGTTCAACTGTTGTTTTGTTTCACTCCGGTTCCCAGCCAGAGGATTGTGAGTTAATCTGAGTGGTCGATTATTGCCTGGTGGGAACGCAACTTGATGCTGGAAAAACATCATCTCACATCCGCCTGAAGCCGACGGCCCATGCCAAGGACAACATGAAAAAGGACTCGGGGGCATGGGTGCTGGCTGATGCATCGGGAATCCTTCTGATTGGTTAAACTGCACGAAAATGACAGTTCCAATTGCCTGAACCTGTTCGGGAGACTTTTGTCCCCAAGCAGTTTCTTTTTTCTTAAGTGGTGTTCTTGTGTTGTCCCGTTTGCTTCCTTCATTCCAATCCGAATCCTCTTTGGCATCGTGATGGGACCCTGACCCGAATAAATCCCGCAAGTTGCTCAGTGGGGTCTGTGCTTGTTCCTTTATTGCCTGGTGGGCTTTGGCCCCGCTAAAACTGGGCAAACCGGGCCCAGCAGGTACTCAGCCTAAGCTTATGATATCGGATATGGTACGAAGGGCGAGATTTTGTGTGCGCTGCTGGCTAGGTGACTTTGCGGCAGATTGGGCAGCCATCGATTGTTGCAAAAGGGTTGTCAAGCGTTTCAGCATGCATGTAGCAGGACCGAGCAAATTGCGCAACACAGTCCCAAAACAATAGCGCTTTGTCCCTGGCTGACCTTGCTTCGCTGGCGCACCTTGATTTGTATCCTGCTGGCAAACCTACGCATTGTTGAGGCGTTTCAAGCTTGGTGGCGCTATTTCTCAACCCCCCTGTTCAGAATCACGCCTTTGTTTGCGTGGCCTGCACCACTTGCAGAGGGACGTTACTTTAGATTTCGCCGATTTCAGAAGATGGCATCATGAAGTTGCCCTGGAATCCCAATCCCTCAAGCTTCTCGCTCAAGGGGTCTCAGCCAGTGCGTAAGCAGGTGTTCAGAGTCGGACGGCCCCTTTTGAGGTCGCTTGCTCTTTTTGCTGGTCCAGTGAATCGCGATGTGGGACCCGTTCCAAAGCTAGATGTTCAGCTGAGAACATCGCCGCGATGCCGAAGCCCCGGGCTTTTGCTTCTCGCGACCTCTGAGTATGTGCTAGGATTGCGACATCCTGACTGGTCAGAAGAGGCGGGGGAAGACATACTAGAGTTGCTTCCGTATTGTTTCACTATCGATCTTTTGAAGCACCAGCACCTTTCTCCTGGCTGTGGCTCTCTTAAAGAAGTACCCCTGGAATTACTCATCCTGGCTGTCCCGCCAGTGCGGGACACTGAGCTTCTGCTTACCTGTCAGCACAACTTCCTTCCAACCGGGTTACGTCAGACCCGAAGATTAGTGTGGTAGGTGAGGCGGTTTGCATTCCCTGACGAACAGTTGAACTACAGTACGGCATTGAGCATGGCTCAGGGTGTTCGGTGCTTGTGCGGGTTGTGCACTTTTTGGAGGCAATGCATCAACCCACCGGATCCTGAAACGACATGCTGGAGCCCTGTCAAAAGACCGCCCTGGCGGCAATGGCAAATTTTGGCGACTTCCCACCCCTTTCAGCTTGGAGAATATTGTGAATTCATTCAGCTCGTTAGACTATTGCATCCATAGTGGGTGATACAACTGATATCATTTAGTCCCAAAAGGAAGCCAAATTGGTTTTTTTTCCCAGACCCCTTCTTGTTCGTGGACCCCAGGCATCAGTGCACGCCATTCACAGGCAACGTCTGGATGCCTTTGCTCTCCAACGAGACGAGCAGTCCTTCATTGAGAGGATGGAAGGGCGGCTTGGTTGCAGAGATTTGGTTTGCCTCGAGGGGCTTTGGATTTACTTCATTTGGTCGGCTTCTTCTGCTGTGGTTGGCCTTTCCTGGTGTGGTTAGCTTTTTCTGTCGTGGCTGATGGTGCCCATAGTGTGATGCCGGCCAAATTTCATGGACGGTGTGAGGCTCGCCGACTTTTAACCAGTGCGGGCCGTTGTATTGTTTTAAATACATTGGAGCGACTGGGCAACGGGGGCAGGCATGCTGGAATTCGTTCTCGAAATAACTATTGGAGGGGGTTTCCTTTCAACCACCATGTGCAGGTTATGTTGAGGATGCACCTTGTAAGGACTCAAGCCAAGCCCTTGTTGGGGCACGGTGGGGGCGACACCAATGCTGAAACTTGTCTTTTACCGCCCATATCAAGGGGTCCGGTTAGTCGAAGT